GTTTGACGCTTTGCCAGCTGAAAGTGCCTCTCATGTCGTCGTCTCATTTCTGCCTTCCCATCGAACACAATCGTTGGAGATTTGATCGCTTCTGTCACCACGTCTTGTTATTCCACTCTTGGCAAAATTTTTCTTATTTTTCTAAAATTTCAACTTGATAAAAACTGGTATTTTTCACTGCACTCTCATTTTCATGTTATTCTCCATTTCACTGCTTCATTTCATTATTTTGCATTGTCTACACTTCGACTCTTTCCTAATCGGTTTATATTTTTTATGAACTGAACTTGAATAACTTCAGTGCCCGAGTGTAGTTGGAAGGGTCATATTCATGAAGTTCAAAGGAATTTTGGCTTGGTTTTATTTGTTAACTGCTGTTTTTGGCCGCAGTTCGCCTTGCGAATGTTTCACAAGAATGCTGGGTTGTGAACAAAACTTTCGCCCCAGACGGGACTAGAACCCGCACCTTTTTCTTTGCTTTTCTTTCCTTCTTTTTCTTTAGAGCAAAAGGTGCGTTTTCGAGTCCAGCCTGGGGTGAAAGTTTTGTTCACAACCTGTCAATCTTACGAAATACTTCGAAGGATATTTTTTATTATCACCCTTTGAAATCATGAACTCACCTAGTCTTTTTTCAAGAAAAGAGAACCACCACCTCCCTCTTCACTCACCCCGGAGCTTCGTCTCCTTCAAAATTTTGAACCACTGTAGTCAACACGAACTATCACACCAAAATGCTACCTCCCTCCAACTATACGAGCACCATTTTTAATCCCATAATCGTTAATACGAGCAGTGCGAAGGTATTTTAGCCTGATACATATTTCTATTCATGTTTTACTATTTCTATTATTTAACGAAATTAGAGGTAAATTTTGGCATGAATCCTGTTACCTTTTTCTGAATACCAACATTTCTAAATCTTTCATCGAAAATTGTAATAATCCTTTTTGGATGGTGTAGCTTTGTTGAACTGCACACGAGGTTGATATTGACAGTTTATTGGCTAACGTTTCGGCGAGTTCGCCTTCTTCGGAGCCTAAAAGGATGGAAGTCGAGTTTATGAGTATCCGACCAAAAATCTCCACACACTTACTAGATCTTCGACACCACCTAATCATCACGAAATCCTTTTTTTTCCTTTTGAAATCTAAATCCTTTTTTTATCGGAACCACTGATTTTCACCATTTCGTAGTGCAAATCTTTCAAGACCAATTTTTGAAACCTGGAGAACTAAATTCCTCCGCCAGCCTGCCTATTCCAAGTCTCGCTGCCTACCATCTTTTCGAAGATGAGGAGAATTTTCAAATGATGTTTGAAAAGTTAACTGTCTAGAAGTGAACTTTTCCATAACACTCAACCGTTTTGGTGTTGCCTGGGCTTTTAGCTGTTCTTTAGTCCTGTTGAGTGTGCTTCAAGCAAACATTTCGCAATGGGCACCTGAATGTCTTTCAGCAAATTTTCTACTTTTTTAAATGTCCACTTCAGCACATTCTCTACTCTTTTCAATGGGGTCAAAGCCTTTCCATTCTGTGCTTCAGTTCTTCTGGAACTTTTCAGCCTCTGAACTTTTCATTGTGCTTTCTCAACTTGAGCTATGACATTCACCCGCAATAGTTTCTTCAAAATGCTGATTTTCTCGCCATTTCCCTAGTTTGTTATTTTTTCACGCGATTATATTGATTATCGGTTTTCATTATTATTACTTCTGTAGTAATGACGAGCAGTGAGGAGGAGATAAGTGTGTCTATCGAAGTTCCGCCTGCAGATGATGGGTCGATCGAACAGGGTCAGAGTTCATACTTTATCTGTGAAATAGTAGGGTCAAAAGTTAATTTTGTAATATTTTTATTTCAAATTCCTTTTTTCTTTGCAGTTTTTTTGTGTTTTTTTTTTGGTAAAAGAAAGGTTCGTATTTTTCTCTCAAGGAATTATTTTTTTAGGACAGAAACTCACTCTAAAAATTTTTCTATTTACTATCAAAAGGGGAAATGTAGTTACTATACATTTCTTAAGGCATTATTAATCGAGTATTGTCATTTCAGCCTTGGACTCGCCAGGCGGTAGTTGTTCGAGAGCGTCGAATCACGCAAGTCCGATGCGGAATCTGAGCAGCGCCCATGGAGGACTGTACGTTTCCGCCCCTGGGAAAGATCATTCTGTTTGGCGAGCATGCCGTGGTCTACGGACGGGTGAGTGCAAAGAAATTGAGGCTTTAACTAATGAATACGCGAGGGGAAATTTTGCAAGCTGTTTTCCTTCTGCATAACGTTTGTTTGTACGAATGCCTTGCTATCTGCGTGGCAGTAGTTGATGATGGTTATTCAAAATTCTGTTCTGTCCAAAATCACTCCTTCAATACCGGCGGATCGTCGCGCGGATCTTATCAGTGGAATAATTTACCAGAACGGTACCTTTGGGAGGAATTTTGATTACCTTTTCGGTCTGACATGTTATTTTGCAAAAAAAATTTCTTCGGAACCGTTTTCAAGAAGCTTCTCCTGGTAGAGAGATGACTGATGAGTCATCGTGAAATTGTATTGGTTATCCTGGCTTTCTCATTCAGTCTTTTGCTTTCAGACGGCAATCGCTGGCTCGATTGATTTACGAACGTATGTGAGTCTTTTCACCTCAGCAGACGGCCGAATCTACTTGAGTCTACCAGATCTTGGTGTAGAGAAGACGTGGCTTCTCAAAGACCTCATAAAAGCAGCAGATCGGCTCGCAGGTAAGCAAACTACTGTAGGGGATGCGTTGTCGGGAGAAGGAATTAGTCTAGATATTACAGTGTTGCCTGAAGTTTTTTGCCTAGCAGTCAATACTCAGTGATTTCTCTGCTTCCTCAGAACATTAAGACCTACGTAATGAGTAATATCTGCAATTCAAAGTAACCATTTTGATTATATTTCCCTTGCTAATGAGTACTTGTAACTTACTAAAGGGTGTATTTCATCTCAATGAGCGTTGAATGAAGTAGCGTAATAATGAACTTGGTAAACCGGTCATCGAGGTTTCATTCATCAATTTCGAAGATGGTATTGGTGTGTTTCAGCCGAACATCCTGTCGAAGAGGAGCAGCCCCCATCACTTGAGCTTTTGGTGCCGATCGCTCGGAAGTTGTCCGGGTCATGTGAGGATCAGTGCGGTGTACAGCATCTGGCCATCCTGGCCTTTTGGTATCTGCTCCTCGGTGTTGCACATAGAAAGAGGTATGTCACAATCCACCACCATAAATTTCCATTTAGTCGTGAACGTTTTGCCACATTTGGCTGCTCCTTTCCCCAAACAGCTTGATTGTTGTGAGACCGTATTGAGCGCATTCTCCGTCTCGAGCAGTTAGCAGATTGGTTTTGCTTTCACCTACACAGTTGTGTAGAAGTGTGAAGTGACCGTCCTTGGTTTTCTTTCCGTTGAGTGCGGTGTTTGTGTCGTAAAAGTGGTGTGGTATTGGTTTAGTTTCGTCGCACGTCAGAACTGTGGTGGTAAACTCCGAAGGAGCTGGAGATGTCGTCACTTCACCGTAAGTTGCACCTTTGAATGTATCGCTTTAGCGACTTACCCCCTGCTTGACTCACCCATGATCGTAGAATCCTTCCGCGGGTCACATATATCTTAGGTTGCATGGTCGCACGATAAAGCGATCATAATTATAAATGTAATTACTAGCGCGGGTCATTGGTCAGTGTGTTCAGCTCCAAAAAAGGTAATTTTTTAAGATTCGTACATCACTACGTGAATCGTAATTAAGGTGGTAGAGTGTATTTTAAGAACTGAGCAGAAGAGGCTGCCATCGCATGTAAGGTTTTGGATTTAACCTTACCCAATTTCACCTAGGTCAGCCAGTTCCTATAGATGATTAGTTGCTGTTATGGGCGGTAGTTACTACACGAAACATGTTGCCAGTATTAAGAGAGGTTCTTGTAGCCAACGCCTCAAACGAAAAGAAGCGTGCTGGTGTGGGAACTGTGATGTGGTATGACGAGACGGTATCCTTACTACATGGGTGAGGCCTGCCCGAAGTGGGCGGGGTTGTTACGAAGCACTGTAGTTAGATTCCAAAAAGTGGATAGGACTCAGCGAATGAAGAGAGGTCAATGCCATCGGGGTGGGGCATGCACCGAGCTGGGCGGGGTTTGCCACGAAACATCATACCTACGTTACAAGAAGGTCTAGAGTCCGGGAAGAAAATGTGAAGGTTAGCGATGGAAGGGAGATCAAGCGCTTATGATGGGTGGATTATGCACTGAGGCGGGCAGTTTACCATAAGTCCTTATAAAAGTATACATGGCCCTGTTTATGCCACTGCAGTTCCGTGTGATGCACGCGAATGCGTGCGCAGTTAGAATGTTAACTAATAGAATATCAATTCCGCAAAGGAAGCAGCATGGTACGTCTTTGTATTTGTGATCAAAAGTTTGGTAATATCGGTTAAAATTGGCGATGTGTTATAACGATGGAGCCAAGAAAGTCACTGTGGCAACACTCCCGTAAAGAGTTAACATGGCTGTAGGACGGAGCGGTTTGGTGGTGTCGTTGAACATGATTTTTGAAGGGGTTTAGGAATAGGTAGTCGCCCCAAACACACTCAAAACCGGCTAACACCTGAGGGGTCTGATCCACCAATGACCTGTGACGTCATCAAAACCGCTCTACCCTCCAGCCATTGTATTCGGAGCCTTTAAACAAGATATGGATGTTTTCCCGATTGGGTTTGTTGCCATGCAGTTTATTTCTTGGTTTCTAAAGGAAGAGCACCACTTTTTCCCAAGAGCCAAGCGTGTTGTGGTTATAGTTTCAGTATTTTCGGTTTGATCACTTCCGTTTCTTGCCGAAAGCCGGAATTTGATTAACGCTCTAATTTTGAGCTACTTAGAGTTGCTTTTATCCTGGCTCCGCGGCTAGGGGTGGAAAATTATTTCTAAAATCTATTCGAGCCAGTACCATTCTTGGAGTTACGTGCTTTGAGGCGATCTACAGTCAACATCTAACTTGACCTGTTCGTGCATGTGTTGTGAATCCTTGAAAATGTCTTTTTTCATGTTTTCTCAACAATAACACTCAATTCATTGCACAGTATCTTTGGTAATGTTTAACGCTCAATATTTCAGGGATCTACTCGCTGTCAAGGCTACAGTTCGCTTCAAGTTGCCCAGCTGTGTAGGACTGGGTTCATCGGGTATGCTTTTAACTTACTGAAATACATATAGTGCTTCAAT